CAACACAACAATAAAAACAATATTTTTACACGTGACAGTACTTGAAGTAATTTTCAGTTGACATTATGAATACAATAGCGTTTTCTAAATTCTTCCAGTTGCTAAGGACATTTTGTTTTGTTCTTAATAGTTACTTAGTTTTAATAAATTCATTTATTTTTTGCCTTGAAAAAGTCCACATGGACGAAACGCGTCGGCCAATAATAGTTTTCCTATTGTCTTTTACCTTTATAAATATTGTCTTTTTCTATCAGGTTAGCTCTGAGAAATTTTTCATATATATATGATTATATTATATTAATGTCATATATATATATATATATATATATATATATATATATTTATATATATATGATTATATTATATATGATGAGTATATATATATATATATATATATATATATATATATATATATATATATATATGAGTTTATATCAATGGACAGATACCTCAGCCTTATCTTGACTTGACCGACTTAATAGCTATAATACATGAGATGCATGAGTTTTCTAAATAAGTTAAATCTTAACACCTCTAAAATAAAAAAAAGATGGAATTTTCCTTAACCCCAACATCTCAAAATATCAAATTTGTCTAGACGTATAAATTACGTAAATCAATTTCAAAAAAGTTATTCTTAGCATCGCTTGATAATAGAACGGAACTTTCTATTTTAAGTTTGATTCTTTATGATTGAATTGATTTGAAGTTTCAGTTTTGAAATATGGGAAATCCGGTGTTGCGATGATTATATTTAAAAAAAATTATAGTATATATATATATATATATATATATATATATATATACACAGTGGGGGGAAATAAATATTCGTACACTTGAAAAATTGTATTTTTATAAATGTAAAAGTCTTAAATAAAAACAAATCTCGGCACATTTTAGTATAAAGACACATACTATTAAAAAATAATAATAAACTTAATTAATTCTTATTCTAACAGAAATTAATGCATTTTTTAATTCTAACTGGTGAAAAAAGTATTCGTACAAATCAATTATTAGAATAAAATAATCAATTAATTATGAAAAAAAGTATATTCTAGAATGTTCCAGTAATGTTATCAGTAATTATAGTTAACGCTATTAGCCATTATCAGAGCATTCTGCAATTTCTAGTCTTACGAGAAGGTTCTAATAATGCCTAAAGGTAAAGAATTGACTATGTCACAGAAACAACACATTTTGTCTCTTTGGAAAGATGGGAACAGTTACAGAACGATGTCTAACAACCTGAATATTCCTTTTACTACAATTGCTTCGTTCATTGCAAGGTTTAAAACTCGTAACAGCGTCGAAAACTAAAGACGAACAGGTGCTCCGAGGAAGATGTCTATAAGATCAGCAAAGATATTAAGACGCCAGATCCAACAAAATCCACAGGTTACCCGAGAAGAGCTGCAGGAACATCTGCGTGCATTAGGGATCAATGTAACCAAGCGTACAATAAGTAATGAACTACACAAAAACAGTCTGAAATCACGCATCCCAAGGAAGACTCCACTCCTCTTGAAACGACACAGAGATGGTAGGCTAAAATTCGTTAGAGAGCATAAGGATAAAGAATATTCGTTTTGGGAAAAAGTACTATGGACAGATGAAATTAAAATAGAGTTGTTTGGTCATAATTATCGAAATCATGTGTGGAGGAAGGACGGTGAAGCCTACTTACCAAAGAACACGTTGCCAACTGTAAAGTTTGGTGGTGACAGTATCATGATCTGGGGCTGTTTTTCTGCAAAGTGCTGGCAGAATATCAATAATAGATGGCAAGATGAATGCCGAAAGATACCAGAAAATCCTGCAAGACAATTTAATGCGTTCTGTTGAGAGACTCGGCTACCTCCTGATTGGGTTTTCCAACTGGATAATGATCCTAAGCATACCGCTAGATCTACAAGGAAATGGTTAGCTGAAAGTAACGTTGATGTCTTGCAATGGCCAAGTCAGTCCCCAGACTTGAACCCAATCAAGAATTTATGGCGATATTTGAAAATTCAAATTGGGAAAAGAGCACCAACAAATATCAAGAATTTGAAGACAATATGCCAAGAAGAATGGGACAAAATACCACTTAATGTGTGTAAATCATTAGTTGAGACGTACAGGAATAGACCGGCAGCTATTGAACTCAATAAAGGATATTCCACAAAGTATTAAATTAAGTTAATATGCTTTTTTTGTTTTGTACGAATAATTTTTTCATCAGTTAAAATGAAAAAAAGCATTAATTTCTATTAGAATAAGAATTAATTAAGTTTATTACTATTCTTTAATAAAATGTATCTTTACATATAAAATGTATCAAAATTTGTTTTAGTTAAGGCTTTTACATTTATAAAAAAACAATTTTTCATGTGTACGAATATTTATTTTCCCCGCTATATATATATATATATATATATATATATATATATACCTACGTTTACAGAACGGCTCAGAGTTTCATACCTTTGCTAATCATTTCTGGGTCTCATTGGATCAACCCTACATTGTGTGTGGATTCAAAGTTCATATATATAGTCGATAGTATCTTTTTATTTTAGATCATTTCTGCATATATATATATATATATATATATATATATATATATATATATATATATATATATATATATATTTTTTCTTGTTTATGATGAGTATATTGGGTTTTGCACATTTATACCACAGCGTCACTTTGTTAGCGTGGCGCTCTTTCACTCAATAATAATAATAATAATAATAATAATAATAATAATAATAATATTATTAATAATAATAATAATAATCGTTTAAAATGATAACATTGTTTAAAGGATGAAATTTGGAAAAATTGGAAAGGACTAGCAGAGAAAGTAACTACAGTACCAGTGATCATTGGAGCACTGAGATGTAGAAAAACATTTTGAAAAATTTTGCAAACATTGGATTGTGATTTGGAAATGGAGATATTACAAAACGCTTGCCTGCTCGGAACAGCAAGGATTCTTCGAAAAATATTGGATATAATCTGTCGATGAAAAGACCAAACGGCCGGTTTATTTTCTCAAGACACGTGTGGTAACCTGAAAGTAAACATTTTACCAACAACCAAAATCAAATACTGTAAATAACGATAATCAGTGGCGGACTAGGTCTACAAATATTGGTTACCAGGAGACAAAGAATCCCCACCCACAACTACAATTCTATCATTTTTTTTTTTTTTGCTACTGAATAGATAAAATTTTTAAAAGTACATATAGAAAAAAAAAACTATGATTAAATTTTTTTGAAAATATGTATATTTTTTAGTAATTACTGTGTACATGTACTGTACTTATTACTGGCAGTAGATACCAAATGACTGCAAATACAAGTCCCAAAGACACATGGCACAATGGATAAAGGCGTTGGTTAAATCCAGTGACAGGACCCCAAAAGTTGTGAGTTCAATACTTGGTTAAGGCGGTGGAGAACTTGGGGAGGGGAATTAACAGGAGATAATTGACAGCTGACATTCATTAGACGTGGAACTAGAACAGTCTACCCCAGTGAGCGAAATAAAGGGTTCAGTTCGACATTCCAACCACCTGAAGAAGGCCGGGCGTACAACGACCGAAGCGTTGTAATAAATATGGATGAGGACAATAGTCCGAATAATGTAAATAATGTACATAATACCTCATCTCAGAAATATAGACAGGTACTAAAGGGCCGAAGCGTTGGGATAAATATGGCAACAAAGATGAGGACAATAGTCCGAATAATGTAAATAGTGTACATAATACTTCATCTTAGAAATATAGACAGATACTGTAAATAGATGTTAAAATTTATTTTTTTTAATTTTAAATAATTGGTTGATATTTTTAAATAGTTTACTACATAATTTTCAGATTTACAAATAGTTCAAAAGCACAATAGAGAATTGCATGCAATTCACTATATTAAGAGCAATCGTTTGTGTTCACTAGATGATTGTTTGAATTTACCAATTATTCTGCATCCAATTTATCTAGCAATTCCCTTTCAATGAATAGCAACATATATGATTCTAAATTCTCCTCAGACAGCGTATTTCTTAACCTTGTCTTTATAACCTTTAGCTTGGAAAATGTCCTCTTACATTGGACTTGAGTATCTGATAGTGTGCAGATAACTTTATAAAGTACTTATTCCTTCTTATTACTAAAACAGTTGTCTATGTCTGTTTCTTTATTGCATTTTTATTTGATATAGAGGGATCACTAACCGTTAGGCAAGCTGACACACTGCCCAGTCCGCCACTAATAATAATGTTATTATTAATAATAATAATAATAATAATAATAATAATAATAATAATAATATCATCAGTGTGACACGTATGCATACATACAACAGAATTTGATTTTAACAAATAATTTATTGCCTTTTAACAATGTTGAACGGAAAAAATGACTCTATCACATCGTTAACTAAAATATTCCTTTGGTTGGAAATTTATTCACGATTAGTTTCAGGTTTGGTTTAGTGGTTAAGATCATCTCAGTCCGAATTATAAACACAAGCAATTAAGCCAAAAATACATCGGATTTGCACCAAGATAAGCGTAAAAAATAAGACGAGGAAAATATCATTTACTCATCAAATAGGTCAGACCAAAATTTTGGCAAGGTTTTAAGTTCCAACGCTGATTACTTTGCTGCTGTGATTAGCTATAATTTCTGCGTTAAATAAGCAAATTACCGGAACGGTCAAAATGTATAGAAATTATTGAATATATATATATATGTGTGTGCGTGTGTGTTTGTGTGTATGTGTGTGTATACATATTTTAAATTTCATTGCCTTGTAACGACATTGGATAAATAGTCATAATTGTTTAGAGTCGATTTATTAATGCTATGTGTACATAAATTGCATCTCTAAATTATCGATGATAATCGCTTTGAAGAACGCAATTCAAAATAGCAAGCGTATCATATATTAGAATCAAACTGAAAAAATCCCTTTGCTGTAAAATTAACGAAGACGAAAAGATGTCTATTTAATATGACTTGTTATCCAATCGGTATGTGGCGCAATTCTCTCATAGACAGTCGGATGGTGGTGTCCACAGCTATGCTGATACGAAGATAAACCAACCAGATACGGACTGTGTCCATGATGGGAACAAACCAGGGGAGAGCCATGATGATGATGAATATCGCACGGAAGGCCGTAAGCGCACACATGAGAGCTGCCAATGTGTTCATCTCCAAAATGGTAGTCGCATTCCTCGTTTGTAATGAATTGTACAGCATTATGATGTGGGGTAGAGCAGTGGTCATGACCGTGCCCATGGACGTGCCCATGTCCGCCGTGGTGTCCGTGGAAACCAATTGGTCTAACCCCCATGCCGTGGTGAAGGTGGAGTAGAGCCAGATTGTGATGACTCACGTGATGGCCGTGGTCATGAGGGTGGTGATGGTGAACGTAGTCTTTATATTTCGGGTGTATTATACGAGCCGTGATGAAGGAACTGTTGTCGAGCGTGATTACTTTGTCGATCAAGTTATGCCTGACAACGCGCAAAGAAGGTAACGGTTTATGGTAGACGCACTCGGCATTGGTAAGAACGGAATGGTGGCCCACCATAGCACCATGACACAAGTGATGCCAACCATGTAAGTGCTCCTCTTGGATTGACATATGCCACGGCCAATGCTGGACGCTGTGGTCAACGTACAAGTGGCCCCCGTGGTGATTGTCAAGGCTATGATGAAAGCCGTCGTGATGGTAGACGTCACCGTGGTGATAGCCGCCGTCGTGATGAAAACCGCCGTCGTGGTGATAGCCTCCGTCGTGGTGATAGCCACCTTCGTGTTGATAGACGGCATCTTGATGAAAGCCTACCTCATGTTGGTGCATGCCACCATGAGGGAAAGTGTCCTCGAAGTGTTGAAACATGTGCTGCTGTATATGCCGTATAATCGGATTCAGAGAGCCAGATAATTCCGGTTTGTTGATCACTTTTACTTCTTGTTCGATTGTGCTGTTGGTCTGAAACGGATTTTTGATCTTCGAAAAAATCATCTCCTCTTTTGGCAAAGAAGAGGACTTGAAAATTGACTTATCAGACTTCAAGCCGGTGATTTTTTCTCCTTTTTTCAGGGTTAATTTCGGTGTCTTTCTCAATTTGGGTCCCTTTAGCTTATCGATTTGGATTGTTTTAATTGTGCTAAAAATGGGGTTTTTTGAAATAGGGAGCTTCAGTCTATAACCGGGCGTTGTATTTTTGAAAACACTTACATTTTTTCTAATGGCGGCGTATTTTGACAGCTTCTTAACGGAAGGAATAAATGTTATAATGTTATCATTTTCCGTCTGATTTTCTGTCAAATCTTTCTTGCGTGAATTTTCCAATTCTTCTGTCTGCATTTTCTCCCTTATAAGTGACGTTTCGTTATTTCCTTTAATGTCATTATTATAGACTAGATAAGTTGGATATAAATTGCTCATCATTTCAGATGTATTATCAGGTATTTGTGGGGTAACATAACGATCCTTGCTGTTATTAGTCTGGGTCTGAAAGGTTACACTCAATAAAGCTATAAGTAGATATAACTGCAAACAGCGAGCGGTATTACCCAACATTGTGAAAAAAGGACAATCTGGGAAATATTGTTTCTTCGTATACTGTCAGTCCTCTTTACTTCTCTTCCGCCTGTGTAGTCGCTTTTATAGCCAGTTTTACTCTGAGGTCATCAAACATCATGTTATATTGTCAAATTAAGATTCAACTTTGTGTCGAAATGTTTGCACGATTAACATAGAGCAAATACGAAATATTCGTTCTGTCATGTCAGCCCAATAATCTATTCCGATAACCGAATTCATTAAAACTTTTTGCTTGCGATTATTAAAAAAAAAAAAAAAAAAAGCGTCACAAATTGGTTTTCATGGCGGCAGGCTGTTTGTTGGTTTCTTTCAATTACAGACTTGATCTGTATTGATTTTTCTCTTGAAAGTCTCGCTTGCACATCTGTGAATTATTTGGAGAATGAATAGTTGGAGGGGGGGTCAAACTGGTGATATGTTATTTTATCCGTCATCAAACAGACATCTTTCTGTCTGCGTGTGAACTTGCTGGACGACGGGCAAATATCTACAATTGATCGTTGGCCATTATTGCTTAATTCATATTTGTTTGTCGCTAATGAGTTATGTTTACCACTGTTCATAGCCAAAAGGAGAGCTTAAATGCTTTCTGACAACGCTAACAGTCTTCCCAAGGTTATATATATATATATATATATATATATATATATATATATATATATATATATATATATATAACTATATATATATATATAACTATATATATATATAACTATATATATACTATAACTATAATATATATATTAATTAAATATAATTATCAAATCCTCCTAATAATTTCCATCTATGTATATCATTGCTTGAACCGGCTTGTAATGCTCTCGAGTGAGCGGCTCCAGCGGGCACAGTCCTATGGTTACAGTAGAGTCCCACCACGGAATATGTGAGCGAGCAGCGCTACATTGATTCTGATTTGCAATCTCTTCGTCACCGAGGCCCGTTGGAACAGTTGGTATGATGTTTGCTTGACAACCTAAGACAGACAGACATATATATATATATATATATATTTATAGGAATATATATATATATATATATATATATATATATATATATATATATATATATATACACACACACACACATATATATATATATATATATATAGGAGGCATGGTGGAGGAATGGGAGAGCCGAGTTCGAATTCCAGTCGAATCCATTACATTCACTTACGTGCAAATACCCTTGGGAAAGGTCTGAATTTTCTTCCCCCAGCTATAGGCAAATAGACTTTGATGGCAACTGGTCTAGGAGAAAGACAGCTATAAATTCAAAACCTGTACGGGGTTTGTTTGGGGACCTTGTAGCACACGATGCACCAGGTCTCTGTATTAGACTCTTCAAAAAGTGTGATGGTTCTCCTAGATCAGGTGCCATCAAAGTCTTCACCACTATAATCAAATCATATGTGCAGGTGTTCCTTGGAACTGAGTTGCTTGACCCACTTACGTTGAAAACAACATAAGAGTCCAGTCCTATATGTATTAGCTATTCAAGGCCAGGTGTAGTTTATCGTCATACCCAAGAGGGAGCGCGGAACCACCTGTTAACTGCTGTTAAGAGTTTTGAGGAGCGCATAGCCACCTCTTAATTTGCTGTTGTTCCCAAGTCCATCCTGACCCGGGGTGGTAGTACCTGTTAGGGTCCCAGCTACGGGCAAACAGTGAACACCCAAACAAAAATCAACGGGTCATTTTTAAAGTAAAATGAGCAACAATATATTTTTTATAGCAAAATGACAATCAATACAACACTAAACATTATAACATTACATTTTTGTAGTAAAATTACCAGCAATACGTTTTTTTATAAAAAAAATTACCAACAATACATTTTGTACTGAAATCACCAGCAATACATTTTAAGATCTACAATTTAATATATAATCTAAAAATCATATCTGTTACCCTGAAAGCATAAAATTATCTACAAAATATTTAGATTTCGGCATTAAATAACCCATAGAAGTTAATATGCTGCTCAAAAAAATCAACCAACAAACATGTATATGCACAAAATCTGACTATCATCTACCATGTATTCAATTGTGAAAGCAGAATAACATATATCATATTTTTATTACTTCAAAGCTCCCGAGAATATTAAATTTCAGCATTAAATGACCCATAAGGAGTTGATGCGCCATTAAACAAACAAATCAAACAATCCCCGATCAGTCCCGGAAAGAAGAGTTCTAGGTATCATTTTGGTCTTGTGTTTGGGCTTGGAGCTGTAATTTATGAGTTTTACTATTGAAGCTAGCGGGAAGGTGGAGTTCAAGCTCCATAAAGAAGGAACAGTCCAACCAGCTAATGGAAGAGCGAGTCAGCGTTACGAAAAGGGAACCTTATGTGACACTGTTCGCTTCCTCATTTTTTTCAAAGTTTTGTAGCAGCCGCCCCGTCTCAATGTTGAGGCACATGAATAAATCAGAATGATTTCTTCAACTGTTTTTTTTTTTTTTTGTCGTTCGTGATTTTTCGACGGCGGGATCACTTTTCGAGAACGCCACTTTTTCCGCATCCATTCACAGCGACCACTTAAGTAAGAAGCGGCATCTAAAACCTAACAAGATGGCTGGTCCCGGGTGCAAGGCTACGGGAGATTGTGGCTATACCATTGCTAAACGTTAAAATAATAATAATAATAAAAACAAGTCCAGAAACAAAACGAAGAACACCAGTAGTATATTAAGGGCATGGCAAATAGTACACATTCCATAGGCGCCTCTTTAGCTTACAACGCCACTGAACATTGAAAAAAAAAATTAACGTAATATTTATTAATTAGGCATTAAGCACTACAAAAAAAAATTCAACACCGACAAATTGCCAGCGTCGAATATTGCCAGCGACATTTGGTTGGTCGGTTGTAATTGACAAATTTGAATCAATGAAAGCAAGAAAGGAGCAGTTTTACGCCTAACCGGCATCTTCCTTGTCATGCTATTATAAATTTCATAATTTCTCAATGAAATATTTAAAAGATTATTAAAAAATATTCGTCTTCTTGGGGAGTATTTTTTTGAAATTGAAACCCTCAGACGCGGAAGTTTAAATATCTGGGAAGCGTCTTGACAGAGGACGGTAAGTGCGACACTGAGATCCGTAGGCGTATTGTGATGGCCAAGGACACATTCCAAAAGCTGGGCGAAACAGGAGGATTTCTTTAGTAACAAAGAAAAGAATACTGAGCTGTTACGTGACATCTGTCCTTCTTTACGACATCGAATGTTGGACGATTTCCTTAAAGATGAAGAAGAAACTCGAGGCGACGGAGATGTGATTCTACAGAAGGATGCTGAGGATATCATAGACCGAGCATGTGAGCAACGATGAGGTCTTATAGAGGTTACAAACAAGGAGAAAGCTTATACTTAACATCAGAAAGAGGCAGTTGAAGTTTCTGGGACACATAATGAAGAAGGAGGGCCTGGAGAATCTAATACTCACAGGTCGAATGAGAGAGAAAGAGAGACAAGAGAAAGCAGTGCGTGACATAACTGACGAACTTGAGCAGGTGGATGACAGAACGTGGTCTGCAGGGAGGAAGCAGAGGGAAGGAGCTTGCTGAAAGCTACAAGGGATAGAGGGAGGTGGAGAGCCATGATCGCCTACGCCCTGAAAGGTCATGGCACATATAAAGAAAGAAAGAAAGAAAGATGACATTGCCATTTCATAATATGATTAAAATTGTCTTCTTGTATCATAGTTTATTATCTTAATCTAAATGAAAACTGTAAAGGACAAAGCGTGTTTTCCTATAATCTGAAGTCATGTACTTTAAAAGATTTTGTGTTTATGATAATTGTGTTGCCATAATTTCGTAAAAGAATATGTTCATGTGATACCATTATATTACAAAAATTTACATTTCTTTCAAATCAAACGAATAAAATATAGTTCTCTTATTGAAGTACCATAATCTGTTATATATATTAATGGTTTTGATTTTTTAATCTCTACTTTAAGAGAAAGAAGACTGAATTTAAACCTCCGACGCTTCGGAGCTCAACCTTGACGATAAACCCGGAGCCGGAGACAGTCCGATGTTATGTTCAGCTTCGTTCTGACAACTCCTGTGACGACGCCGGTGCAAAGATGCATTGGACTTTTTCCCTTTGACAACATCGGTGTTGTGAAGAAGGGAGGCGTACAACATGGGCAACACCCTGTCCAGACTTGCACACTAGAGAGGACATTCCAGTGTCACCTCACCGCAACGGCTAGGCACGGGAAGCAACAGTCTACTGATGGGAGAATTCCGAAGGTCCTTCTCTATGGAGAACTGGCCACAGGCAAGAGGGTATGTGTTATGGGACCTTACCCATAATAACATAATGGACTATTCCATACGTAATAAATACTGCGCCTCAAGAGGAAGCAGGGGGTTCCGTCTGAAGTCTGAAGTGAAGT